TAAACCTCTGAGAGCTTGGGCCGGCCCAGTGGCGCACTGCTACAGTGCGCCGCTTGGGAACGCGGCGGCGCTCCCACCGAGGGTTCGGATCCCACATACAGACCGGTTCCCGCTCACTGGCTGAGCGAGGTGCGGGAGCAACACCGAGGGTTGCGATCCCGTTGCCGTCCCGGTCCGGTACGGGGGCAACACTGAGGGTTGCAATCCGTTGCCGGACACGAAAAAAGACAAAAAGGAAAAAAAATAAATAAATAAACCTCTGAGAGCTCCCTGTTTTCCGGAATTGGGTCTGTTATTCTGCTGTGAACGTTTAATTCACTACTAGATAGCATGAACTTACATGTATGAAGTGCCTAACTCATTATCTCACACATAGTAGGTGCCAAAAAATTGTCATTTACACCATTCTCACTGAAGGCCCCCTTGAGCCTTGCAAAGTTGACATGGAGATGTTCAGAGACTCTAATTGTGAATGTGCTATTTATTTCATGTTCATTGTGCCACATAAAAGCCTGGGTATTGGCACAGAGCCAATACCTTCATGATTTAAATTTTATCTACTAGTGAATTAAAAATTAACAAATAAACAGACAAACATGTAGCTACCAGTCAATGTGCTCTTGGTTTCATAGATTATGGGTAGCCTAAGTATCACAGATATTTGAGATCTATGGATTATTTTACAATTTTGCCAGGTTCAGGGAAATTATTAAGCAGCTGAGGCATGCCTGGTAGGCTTCCACCTCGGCTAATCACCTTCCACCTCATCTTTCGATTTCTCTGAGCTGCTTTCACAACGGCCCATCTTCTTCCTTGGCAAACATACATTATTAGTTTAGCAGATACCTGGGCACCTTCTTTGTATTGGGCACTGTGCTGGGCACTGGGGGTACAGCAAGAAACATAAGCTGAGAGCATCATAAAGTAAAGCAGGTCTAAGGACTGGAGTCGGGGTGGGCAGATATTTTTAGAGACAGGAGTCAGAGAAGATTTCTCTAGAGAAGTAATAGTTAATCCAGACCTGAGTGCCGAGAATGGGCCAACTAGGGGAAGTTTGGGGAAAGAGCCTTCCAGCCTGAGACAGCAGCGAGTGTAAACACCCTGAGAAGCAGCTTAGCACATTGCAGGAACTGGGAGCAGAGCTGGGTCCCTGGAACCTAGAGAAGGAGAGTAGGAAACAAGGGAAGAGAGGCAGCAGCTTGCAGGCCATGATATGGAGTTTGCATTTTATTCTGCTTATCGGGGGGCACTGCCAGACAACTTAACCAGAGGAGTAATATGGCCTGAATTGCATTTTGAAAAGAGCACTCTGCCTCCATCTGGAGCATGGAGTGTGGAGAGGCAAGGACAGAGGCAGCAGGAGAGGGCGAGGCAGCGTGCAGGTGGGAGGGGATGGGGGCTTGACCTGGGGAGCTGGAACGGCAGGTAGTGAGAAGTGGTGGCCTTCAATAGGGACTCATTTCGTTACCCAGAGCTGAGTGCCTCTCATTTTTCATGAACACCCAGTCTAAGAGGATCCATTTGTGACTAAGAGTGTGTCTATACAGAACTTAATCGTAGAACAAATACTCTAGGGCACTAACCAGGTCAGGTGCACAGGGCCTTCCTTCACTAGGGGTGATGCCCCATGGGTGAGACCACTCTGGGCAGGAAGATATTTTTGGTTGATAGGCCTTTTTTGTGCTCGTAAAAGTCATTGACCCTTAAAAGATGGCTTTTGCCTGCCAGAGATAGGGGAGAATTTTGTTCACTTTCCGATCTGAACTCTCTTCTGGGAGGCTGGTGTGCTCATTCACAAATTTTCCTCCTTGAGATCTCAAAGATCTGATGGACTTTTGAGAAGCAGGAGGGCTACACGCTACCAAATGTCAAAGTAAGAGCAGACATATAAATGTAAATACATTTATGAGTAATTTCATTTCTTTCCCCGAAGAAGATATCCTTGGCTGTCAAAACTTTCCCAAGTGGGTGGAAGAATCCTCAGGTGGAGCGAAGTCATTGTGAGAGGCAGCAGGTAGTGGTTATCACTTAGTGTTCACTGAGCTCCCATAGGGCGACAGTTGCTTCCTAATGCCACATCCATTAAATATTTCCTTTCCTTCTTTTCTTTCCCCAACCTTGTCATTTACAGGTTCTCTTAGTGCTCGATGTGACAACTCTGGACGGTGCAGCTGTAAACCGGGTGTGACAGGGGACAGGTGTGACCGATGTCTGCCAGGCTTCCACACACTCACTGATGCTGGGTGCACCCAAGACCAGAGACCCCTGTGAGCATCTGCATCCCACCATTGCTGTTACTAATGTGAATAATGACAATTAAGTTAACACCAGTAACCGCTCTCCTTTACTGAGCACCTGCCAGGTGCCAAACCCTGCTTTGAGAACTTCATATGGGTTGTCTCATTTAACCCTCACAAAAACCTTAAGAAGCTGGGATTATCGTTATACTCACTGTAAAGAGAAGACACAAACCATAAGAGGTTAAGTTGCCCGATATTACTGATGAGGGTGGACCAGCCCAGAGTTTTGGCTGCAGAACCCACGTTCTTTATCCTGACAGTTGCCTTCTTTAAAGGAATGAGGATGGGGGTACACAGTCTTCCAAGTCCTAACCTGGAACCCGTTTTGACCCAAATGCATTTGGGGTAGGAGAATTATTCTGTATCACGTTGATCCCCTTTAGTTTGGAACATCCTTTATCCTCCTCAGATTCTTTTCTGGAAGAAGATGGAGTATACATTGTAGTCACATAGCCAACCTGCAGAGACACAGAGCAGGCAGGATGTTGGATGGCTGGTGGGCTGGGGGAGCTTGGCTCTGGAGCACTAGCTAGAGGGCTGCTGACAGACGAATCGCTTCCCTGCTGCCCACTTTTCCAGCTCCTTGCCCAGAGGGCAGCTGCCCTCCACCCACACTTGTGTGTCCCAGCTAAGTCCTCTCACCCTTGGGCCTTTGCACAGATTGTTCTCTTCAGCCTTCTCTGATCCTTTTAGATTGCCTTCAGAGACCCTCCCCTGGGCCCAACCCCCCTTTGGAACCCTTGTAAACCAGGTAGTAGACCATGCTGCTGCGCTGCCCCCAGCTCTCCTTCAGCCCCTGCCCACTTGGAACGAGATACAAACTTCTTCTCAAGGCCTGCAGGGCCCTGTCAGCCCAGGCTCTTCCACCCCAGCCTAGGCTGTCACTAGATTTCTCGCCACTCTCCTCCCGGCTCCCTGCACTACAGCCACACCAACCTGCCTTCCCCTCTTCAGAGGAGCCTGGCATGTGTGACCTGGGCCCTGGCCTCTTGAGCACCCTTCCTTCCCACAGAGCCATGCAGCGCTGTGGGGCTCCGTCCCCACCTCACCATCTCCTCACAGAGGCCTTTCCTCACCAGTCCCCACCCCTCCATGTTCTGACTCTGTTATTTTACTCCAAATCTCTTCTTTTCAATACATATTTGTTTGTCCGTTTCTCCCACTAGCATGTAAGCCCCACTCTGCTCTGTCTTGTTCATCTGTGTGTCCCCACGGCCTGGAGTGGCAAGGGCCCCAGCGGGTGTTCCAGCTCAGCCGCAGCTGGCATCCCGCTTCACTGCCAGTGGCCTTCACATAGCTGCCTGCCTCGAGCCTCCTGCAGAATGGGGGCTCCTTCCTATTCCTCTTAGTATCCCTGGTTCTTAGCACCAGTAGATGCTGAATACATGTTTACCAAATGGTCCAGATAAGCAGTACAGAAGGAGCTAAGACAAGGAGGAGGGGTGGGAATGAAAGATGGAGATTGGGAAAGGAATTCCAGCTGGAAGCCTGGCTGGACTTGGCATCTAATCAGTTGAGGAATGTGAGGGGGAGGGAGGAATCAAGAGTGCTCCAGGTTTGGGCAGGATTTGGATGGGGTCACCTGGCAGTCAGTGGAGGAACAGCTCAGCAAGGGAAAGACAACAAACTTGGTTTTAGACTGAGGAGATAGATACATGATTGTGTGTCAGGATGAGTGACAGAGAGCAGTACTAATCACAGCACGGGTCTGCACAAGACAGGAAGACTGCGCCAGAACTAAACGAAAGCACTGATATCTCCATTAAGCAAGTCTTCCTACCATTCAAAAAAAAGTTAACTAAAC